ACCCTAACCTAATTTTTAACTAAAACTCTTCTCGAACTTGAACGTAAGAATATTTTTATAAATGTCCCGTTGTAAAAATTGGAGTAACTAGGATGTTATCATGAAGTATTTGCAAGATTATGGTAAGAACAAGTAGCGTGGAAATTTAATGACCCTAGTGAAGGAATTTTCTAGTTTCTGTTAAAAGTGCATTCTTATATATGGCTATTGTTAATAGCTGAAAACTCGTGATTTCAAATAGGAAAAGTCACACGTGTTAAGGAGAAAGGAATTGGTGTTGATTATCTCGTCAAAGCCGTATGATGAATTTATGAATCCAAAAGAGTAGAAATACCAACGATTATGTATGAGTCTCAAAACGTATTATTTTGAATTAAGGATTGAATATAGATTATTGAAATAATTTTATTTCACATTTTCTCAAACACACTCTAAAATCTCAAAAATAGAAGTGTATTGAAATGAAAAATGTGATAATACAAGGGATATAAAGAGCTTATACAGCCAATTAAAACAACTTTCTAACTGATTTGACTGATATGTAACTAGCATATTACATCTCTAATTAAAACCCACCTTGAAATTTGATTTATTTATTTTCTAATAACACGCTTTTGAAAAAAAAAAAAAATATATATATATATATAAATGCTTATGTTACCTTCTAATCCCTGTGGATACGATAATTTTACTACTTCAACGGCCGGTATACTTGCTGTGTTTGAGACCGTTGACAAAACAAAAGTAATTTAAAGTGATAACAAAAGTGGTTTTAACAGAAATCTCAACATGAAGCACGTCCATGATACAAAGTATGTTCATGCTTGATGATATGCACAATCTTGTTTCCCCTTAGAGCACTCCTTGCTTGAAGAAGCATGTCCTTGCTGATGTAGAAGCACACACTTGTAATTAAGCATGGTTATACTTTCTGGTAAGCACGATTGTGCTTAAAATGTTCCCTAATTTTTACTATATATTGGGATTTTTAGATCAAATTTTTAGGGTCTAGATTTTAGCTTTAGTTTCATACTTTTCTTTCATTCTATCTCACTACAAGAATGTTGCGGTTTAGAGTCGGCCAAAAGCCGACTCTAAATCATAAAAATCGATGTAATATTGTCGATTATTCGTCGATTTTTAGCTGACACTAAATAAGTCGACACAATTTTTTTTGTGTCAGCTAAGCCGTCACTAACAAATTTATTTATTTTAATTTTTTTGGGGGGCCAAGAAAGATGAAGCAAAAATGGCGTGGGTTTCCTGGAACAAAATTACCATGCCTAAGGAGGAGGGAGGCTTGGGCATTAAAAGACTTGACTTGTTTAATGATGCACTACTTGCAAAATGGAGGTGGAAATTATTCCATGAACTGAATTCCCTATGGGGAAGAGTTTTGGTATCCAAATATGGTGTCAGGGCAGCCATTGAGGAAGGCTCATTGACGAACAGAATGTTGTTATGGTGGCAGGATATAATGTTGGCATCCAGAGGGGAGAATAACAACAATTGGTTTATGGATGCAGTTACTTGGAAAATAGGGGATGGCAAAAGAACAAGGTTTTGGGGTTTGACTCGTGGGTAACTGATGAGTCGTTGGTAATGAGGTTTAGTAGAATTTTCTTGGTTTCAACTCAGCAACACAATTTGGTTTATAATATGGGGTATTGGAGCTCTGAGAGGTGGCAGTGGAGATTAGACTGGCGTAGGCCATGGTTTTCCTGGGAATTAGAGCATGTGGAGGAGCTAAGAGGAATTCTAGAGGGAGGACAGGACAGACTAGTGGGAATGGGAACTCGATGGGGATGGTATATTCACTGTGAAATCAGCATACAAGGACAATAGGATCCCAACAAATAAAGTTTACATTTGTGGTGTGGAGGATCAAAATCCCACCAAAAGTTCAAATATTTACATGGAGGCTATTCCTAAATGCGTTACCAACAAAGGACCAACTAATGAACAGAAATGTTGCAGTACACATAGACCAACGACTTTGCCCTTTCTGTAATGAGGAACCAGAAACAATCCAACATGTCTTCTTCACCTGTACTTATGTGGATAAAGTGTGGAAAAAGTGGATACAGCTGATGCGGAGCCCGACACCTTTATGTCACAATGCATTCTCTAATTTCTCGGCTCCCCCCTCTATAATATCTTCTAAAGTCCAAACGGAAAGATGGTGGGTATTGTGGGTTGCGATGTGTTGGTGTACATGGAAAATGAGAAACCAATGTGTATTTTAGCAAGGTGAGTTCGACGAACAAAAGCTTGGACAGCAGGTAATAATGTTCTCCTGGTCGTGGTTGGCATCTCTTGATAAATCATTTTCTTATTCCTTCTCTTAGTGGCAAATGAATATTGGCCTATGCATACTCGGGGTAGGAGACTTTGCATAATAGGACTAGTTGGCTGATGATAAATAGGGATGGTGGTTCCTGGTATGTAATGTATAAGGGGGTGCGGTCATTAGGCACACCAAATCTTGTATAAGGGCCTTTGGTACCCCTGGTACCAACATCATATATATATAATTTTCTTTGCCTTTCAAAAAAAAAACCCACGTGGGCCATAGGCTCATCTTTCCCTCAAAAGATACATTTCAGTTAACAATAAGGAACATGTAATGTCCATTTGTCTCAATATTGTGATATATGGCAGGCCTAGAGTAAACATGGACTAGGGTTTCAGCTCCACTAAGCATAACTATAATTGAAGTTTTTATCCAATCTTAGCCATGTCCAAGTGACAGACACAATATCATGCATCAAATGTTTTGCATCAAATGTATGTCCCCTAATGAATAGGTTTCTTCTCCATTGTAGCTTCCAAGACCATGTATGTCCTTCCCATACTCCAGTTTGATCTATGAATTTGTGTTTTTGGTTAGATATCAAGTATAGTCTTGGGAACATCTCAGCTAAGCTCTCTTCACCCAACGAATTATCTGTCCAAAAATCTTATTTGCTTTCCATTCCCAACTTTCCATTGTATATTATTATCAAACCACCGTGATGTTGTTCGACTACCACATACCTTTCTAAGGTTTTTCCACCAAATTGATTCATTAGGTTGATCTTCAGTGACACACAACTTTTCCACTCCATCGTACTTAGAGTCTAGAATCTGGCCCCACAGCTGATTCTTGTAGTGGAACAAATTCCATCGCCATTTTCCAAGTAAGGCATCATTAAACAACTCAATATTCTTAATTCCTAGTCCTCCTTGGTCCTTAGGTTTGCATATTTTTTCCCAACTCACCCACGAGATCTTTCGAATACCTTCTTCACCACCCCACAGGAAGTTTCTTTGAATTACAACGACCTTTCGAATAACTTTCTTCGGCATTTTGAAAATGGATATAAAGTACAGAGGCAATGTTGTGAGAACAGAGTTTATCAAACAAATTCTGCCAGCCACAGATAAAGATTTATTCTTCCAAGGAGCAAGTTTTTTGTTGAATTTGTCCAGCAAAGGCATCCACATACCTTTCCAATAGTAATGATCTGTAATTCACATTCACATGACAAACTACGAATTGGAATCATTCTTTAGTCACGAATAGTCAATAAATGCTTATGTTACCTTCTAATCCCTGTGGATACGATAATTTTACTACTTCAACGGCCGGTATACTTGCTGTGTTTGAGACCGTTGACAAAACAAAAGTAATTTAAAGTGATAACAAAAGTGGTTTTAACAGAAATCTCAACATGAAGCACGTCCATGATACAAAGTATGTTCATGCTTGATGATATGCACAATCTTGTTTCCCCTTAGAGCACTCCTTGCTTGAAGAAGCATGTCCTTGCTGATGTAGAAGTAAGTATAGATATTAGAAACCCAAATATGAAGATAATTTATACTTAAACATTGCATGTAAAGTTTCGTCACTTGAGGTACATTTGAAGTGGCACGATATAGTTATAAATCATTATGTTTATTCTCAAAATTTTATTCAAGATTCTAACACCTTACTTGTAATTAACTATTATATATTAAACACAAATTTTTATATTATATGAAAGTATATTTAAAAAATTTGTTTTATGAGAAAATTTTTAAATTTTTTTAAACTTATCTAATTTAATTTTTATTTATCATGATTATTTATGAATGATTTTAATATTTTAAAATAAATGATCAATTAATAAAAATAATATTGTACTACATTATATTTATCATAAATTTAAAATATAATTTATATCTTTAAAAATATTTATAATTTTAAATATGATTTATATATTTAAATATAACATTTATTTGGATATATATATAATTTTTTTTATAAATGTTAGTAACATATAATAAATACTTTATTTGTGCATTAGACATGTTAAAATACTTGTTATTTGTAACTTCAACATTTGCATATTTTACATTCATTAGTTTCACCTTACATGCACTTTTTCAAAATCATAGTTTTGAAAAAAAAAATTATAAAGCCAACATTATTCGTATCTACAATATATACATAAACTTAAATGTTTGCGTTGAACAAATTTTTATTCATATTTTAAAATATTAATCTATTTACAATTTTTTTTGGTAAATAACTAATGTAAAAAAAAATTTAACCAATTAATTAATAAACAAATAATTCAATTAATTCGGTTACAAAAAAAATTGATTGATTACCATAAAATACGTCAAAGTTGACGTAAGTTGTTGAAACTATTTGTAAAAATATGAAATATTTTTAGACGGAAAAATAAATGACTCTTAGATTGTGATATATTATGACTCCCAATGGCAATATTTTCTATAAATATTGTATGTTTATAATATACTGCTCGCCTTCAGATTTGTACCATAAAATCGGAACATATAAAATTTTTCTACTTTTTTTTTTTTTAAGGTTATAAAATTTTTCTACTTATCCCTAACTTTATGGGTCAAAAATACGTGGACACTTTCTCCTCACTCCTCTATCTATGCAGTTATATACACCTCTTACTGATTCCTATAGTTAATGGATTATTTTTAGTGGGGACAAAAGCTTTGGTTTCATAACATCAATGACATCCACATGAATATGAGCCTTCTCAGAACCTTACAATCTTCAAATAACAATATCCAAAACTTTAAGAAAGACACTGGCTTATCCAATATCCACAACTCAAGGAAAACTCTTCTGCACATTTCAGCTAAGGTGTTTATCTGTGAAGTAGCATCATGGCCTTGGAGAATTGTGTGAGAGTTGCCACTGTAGGCACAGGTGCCAGACCCCAACAATGTCTTCTTCATCCATTCAGCAAAAGGGAGAAGCTTGTTTTTCCCACTTTCGGAGGATTCAAGAAATCTTTGTCAAAATCAACTTTATCAAACGCATCATCTCTTTATTCTGCTGCTGCTGGCAAGAACAGAAAATCTCGTTTTATCTGCAAAGCTCGTGAAGCGGTAAATGAAGGTAACCCACTTCTCTGATGATTGTTATTACCTTATATTTCACTAATAGTCTTCTTTACAATGGTTTTCCGGTTTAAGTTTAACTTCCCATTATAGATTTCATTCTCTTTAAAGGGCACATTAGGGGTATTGAAAAATATCATTGAATAAATTTCATATCAGACATTAACATTTTGCACCGCAAATGTATATATCCTTGAGTGATGAATAGTTGAATATCCTTTATCTTGTGTTCAATTATGATTTTATTACGGACAAAATTTGGTATGGTAATATTGGTGCTGTTTTTCAAGCAGAATTAGAGTTTCACTTTATTAATATACATTTACAGTTGATGTAGACTTGAGAATATACAATAACACAATTACCAAAGTGAAACTTTAATTCCGATAGAAAAATAACACCAACAAATTATATGATATTACTGTACCTAAATTATGTCCTTTATTTTCCCGAGAAAGCATTTAGCTGGTAGTAAGTGGCTGGCCCTATTTTGCAGTGCGGGTAGTGACAGATTCAAGCTGGAATAGCCTTGTCATTGAAAGTGAAACCCCGGTGCTGGTAGATTTTTGGGCACCATGGTGTGGACCATGCAGGATGATAGCCCCTATCATTGATGAGTTAGCAAAAGAGTATGCTGGAAAAATTGTATGTTACAAGCTTAACACAGATGACTGTCCCAACATAGCCACACAGTACGGAATCAGGAGCATACCCACTGTTCTATTCTTCAAAAATGGAGAAAAGAAAGAAAGCATAATTGGTGCCGTTCCCAAGTCCACTTTGTCCGCAACAGTGGAGAAATATGCTGACATATAGAGTGGATAAAAAATGTCTAAGGAATGCTTAATGATAAATTATGGACCATCTTTCATTTTATGGTTTCAACACTTTAAATAGTACTTTGTATCCACATTTTGTAAAGATTACATTGTATAAATTCCCGATGGAGGAAAATCTTCAGCTCCACTCTTCTCTGCTGTTCCTTCAGCCATTCATTACAATTCACTTCCCAGTTTCGATTACTGATCCAATGATTTCTCATGCCACGTTAATTTGACACCATTACTCCGGGTTTGGGAGAATAAATTGAGTTTTCATTGTCTTCATGGCCTTTCTAGCTCATCAGCATAAACTCTACTGGGGACTAAAATCCAAAAATGCTATCAGACTTGTCCACTGTTGATGCACATAGCTATATGCTCCTAATCGCTTGCAGTTTGCAGGCCAATGCATCAAGTTTCTTGCATGTGCGTGTGTAATGGATAAGTTTGTGAATGCCATCAAGATATTTAAAAAAAAATACAAAAATTAAAAGTTACATTTGAATTCAAAAGAAAAATCAACCCCATCAGCCAAACTAGCCAACAAATTTTCATCTTTTATATATATAAAATAACAGATTAGTACAACGACCTATCACTAACCGATTGCATTCTGTCACCTCCAACGGGCCAAAGGCAATTCTAGAATTTCTCATGCTGCACAAGCAGCTGCCCAAGAACCACAACATCCATAAGATTACAAAGGCTCTCATGGAGATGGTTTCCAATCAAATTGAAGATTATTAAAGCCATTTACTGCTCCTAGCCCACTAAGTAGTTGGCTTGACAAATCCTGTTGATGATTCATAACTTGGTCCCGAGCAAGAGATGCCATCCCTCCTCTTCCATTCATGATTGAGTTATTTCCCATTACAGGTCTCATCCCATTGGTCATACCTGATGGACCAAGACCCATTGTACCATAACCACCAACTACGACACCTGAATTACTGTTCACAGTCCCGTTACCCACCAGGCCATTGCCACTATTTACCCCTGCACTGTTATTCACTGGCAGAATTCCGTTTACATTCTTCATGTCGTTTCCAAGTGAACCGGTTCCAGTCATTCCACCAGTGCCATTCATCTGGGAGGACATCATCATCTCATGAATGATTTTCTGAACTGAGCTCTGGGCATCACTAGGGTCAGCTTCAACAGGAAGAGATGTCTGCTGTTGTTGCAAGGAAATATTAGCTGGTGAGTTTGTTGTACCCATGTGGTTTGCAGAAGTTAAGGCAGGGTGAGATGTTTGGGGATTGTTAGATGAGGATGGGGTCGGTGATTGAAAAGGGGATGCATTTGGTTGCGCTTGTGGCACATTACCGGAGGAACCTGGGGATGGAATCTGAACAGAACTACCTCCATAAGGGCTGCTTGCATTGTTCATTGAATTTTGTCTAGAATTCATAGAATTTTGGTGGAGGAGTCCAACAATAGTGCTTGTGGTGGTTGATGCAGATGCTGCATTGACAGAGTTATTTACACTAGCCACACCATTGCTAGATGCAATTTGCATGGCAGCAGTTTGCACTGAGTTTGGATCACCATTTGAAGTATGGGGCACCATATGCCGGGGTGACTGCTGTGGCTGTGACTGCTGCTGTAATTGGTCTTCAGACTGTTGTGCCTGACTATGAAGTCCAGATGAACCACCACCTGTTCTCCTAGGGAATTTAGCTAAGCTGTCTGAAAAAATACAACAAAAATAAACATTCTATTTTCAGTATATTATTACAGTCAAACAGCTGGCAGTTATTGATTAAAAAAACTTTGCAACAAGTTCAAACTCAAATTATCTTGAAGACCAAAGCTTTCCTGTTTAAGAAACAAGACCTTATGGAAAGAGTTTGTACGCATTTTCCCAAGTCTAAAGCAACAAAAGAGATGCACACTTATACTTTCCATCTTTTTATGGTGTTTGGTTAGAGAGGAACGGAAAGGACGGAAGAGAAAATAAGGAGGCCACCCAAAATCCCTCCCCTCCCATTTTTGTCTCCCCTCCTATATTTGGGGAATCAGAAAGGGAAGAAGATGCTTCAAGTAAATAAACAGGGCTGACTAAAGTATCCTCATTCCTTAGTTTTAATAATTCAGCTTAATAGTTTTATTGTCTACTATAAGAGTATACTAGTAAATTATTTTATCCACCCCAAAAAATAATAATTAAATACCTCTTCTTCTCTTGAAACCAAACAAACTATACCTCAGTAAAGAATGATTTGTCTAAGTGCTCTTACCATCTGCCAACCAGCATATGAAGCACTAAAGACTTGAGAGCTTGTATCAACGGAAGGAATAGTTCCAAAATTAAAATTTAAAAACAAAAGCATCTTTGCCCAGAATGAGAAAAAGAAATTACAGCAGCATACACGATGTTTGAATATATAGAAAATGTACATATCTTTAGAATAATTTAGAGTATCTTAGATTATCTCTTTTAAGATTAGTTTTCATATTTCCTAATATGTAATAACTTGTTTCTTTATTTTGGATTATGATATAGTATTATTATAAATAAATAATGGCTAACGCTTTATGTTTTTCACTATATTGCAACACACATTAAGTCAATAATATCAATCTCAGGATATCCATTCTATTTTATAAGAGCAGTACCGTCTTCAGTGACCTTCAATATTCCTCCGTGAATTTACTAAAATCCATAGCATTTTTTATAAATAAATGTAGATTGGTCTGATCCTGATGATCTGTCACAGATGTGGTTGGACCCACCAATGTTTGTTCCACATGGAATCTAGCCCATAGTTTATCCCATCGTGGTTCTGTGCCTGGTCATCGCAGCTGAAGCGGCACTTTTCATGGCTGAGAATTGTATGCATTGTTAATGCTATAACTTTCACACATTGAACCCATCCCTATTTACCCCTGAAATCAGTGTGGTTTCATGGGCTTGTTGGGGGGGGGGGGGGGGCAA